CTTGGTAGAGTGAAAGCTTGACTGGGTTGTAGTTTGCCTATGGTATAGCTTCTCCTCCTACTTCATGGGGAGATCCTGGTGTTTGTGGTACTGAGTCCTCTTCGTGAATGAGGGAACTGTACGAAGACTCTTGTCGGGAGGTCTTTCGTAGGGGTCTCCTGTGACTTCCTTTGGTTACTCGAATGTTTAGGTACAATTCTTTGGGCAAGGGGAGAGGTCCAGAACTCCCAGAGAGGACATGGGGGGCCCTGCCGCTGCCACCTGAGACCTTAGCCTCCAGCATTGGTAGATGGGGAACCAGCCACAATCTCCTAGACACCTTGGGTAGTCGTTAAAGCTGAACGTGTGGAGTTATGTAAAGAAGGAGGGGTTTTTGAGTAGTACCAGGTAGAATTTTTTTTCATGCAAAGGCAAAACTTGAGATCAAAAGAAAGCTTAGCTTGTTTGATAGATACATTTTCAACTTAGTTAAATTTTTTTTTCTTAGTGTGTGTGTGTTGGTACTGATCATTCTCAGGATAGAAGAGGAGGGAAAAAAAGCCCCACATCTGATAAATCATTGTAGTGTCTCACATCCCAGCGCCTACCAGGCGAGGCGGTTTATGATTTAGTAGGTAGGAGAAGGGCAAGGTAAGTAATTGCTTGCTCTTCTTGTTTCGGTAAAATAAAATATTTTTACCACTGCTACGTAAAAATAGCTTACCCCAGACCTTAGATAGCCTCAGTCTTGGGTGTCTTTGTGATCTGTGTAGTCGAGGTAGGTTGTTTTCCAGTTCTGGCAACTTTTTTTCAGTTAGTTGCAGGGGCCATGTGACTTTACAGAAGTAGTGTTAAAGTCCACTGGTCTCTGAAGATTGGGGGTCCTTGTTAGATCTTACTTGTGAGCGTAGTGGCCACCCTGGGTGGATGGGGATCCCAAAAGTTTCTGCAGGGTTTCTCTGCTGAGGAAATGGCACATTTGTGGACTTGGACATCATGTTGTAGAATCAGCCAAGTTGGGTGATAGAAGTTCCCTCCCAGTCACAAAAAGAGGCTTTTTGCTGTCCCTGCCTGTCCTTTGCTATGAAATGATACTGGTGCAGGTGAGCTTAGGCATTACTTTATAAAAGGAAGCACTTGGTCTTTTTAAAAGAAACAATGTGACCCTGAAGTTTTACTCATAACAATTTTAATGAATGAGCAAGGTAGAGTAGTGGGATAACCTCGACGTAAGCAGGAACCTCCTTTGAAAATTACTGGCTGTGTGACCGTGGGGGTGGGGGCGCATGTGGCTCTCCTGCGCCTCCGTAAAATGGGGGTGATAATTTCACTATCTACCTCACTAGTTGTCAGTGTGTGAGCTCTTTGCTTATCAGCCACAAACTATGAATGTTAAAATGCTTTAGGTTTAATATAACCCCTTAATGAAAAGGTCCAATGTACCTCCCTTTCACCCATAGGTAATTGGTAGAGGCACAAACCAGGTGCATTTGATGATGGTATGGCAAGAATGAATGTACTCATAATTCCTCTAAATTGTGATATTATTTAACACTATTAATGTCCAAGTCTGGGCAGTATTAAAGTAGGCCAGTGTACAAATGCAAAACAAAAACAGCTGGTTTCTGCTACAGATTGTCTTTTCTACCAGAGTGAAAGCCAAGCTCTTGGTGTGAATTTGCAAACTCGATCACTGGCTCTGCATGACATTGCAGAAGCAAGGGGAACCAGGTTTGCTAAAGTAATTGTGGTGATAGAAGCTTATTTGCCTTGGAATTGACATTTTTGAGGCACCTCATTCTATCCTAAGACAAAATTACTGGGTGTTATATTAAAAGCTATTCATGTGGTAAGATTATTTGTTGAGTTAGGATAGAATTGTTTAATTACCATGAAATCTAGCAGCTGTCCATAAAAGAATCCAGTTTATTGGGTATCCTCTCATGCTTGGAAAGTCTGGCCTCCTGCAGTACTTGGATTACCCCCAAGCTTCCTGCAGGAAGCCTTCTTGGACCCTTGTACCTGGGTTGTATTTTGTATATCCCTGTGTGCACAGACAAGTTAGAATGTTAGCATCTTTGAAGGGAGGGCATGTTTCTGTTCTGTCTTTGTATCCTTGGTGCATAGCCTGGTTCTCGGCTTGGAGGTGTTTAATAAACCCTTGAGTGATTGTTCTTCATTTAGAAAGTATAGCTGAAATAGTTGACCAGGAACTAAGCCTGTTATCCAGTCTGGAAATGTTTTTGACTTGTGAATTCTAAGATATTGGGAAGAACGACCCTTGAGTTTTTAACTGCTTTTGAAAAATCTTTGTAGAAATTGTATTCAGTAGACTAAGATAAAGTCTCTTTGAAAGAAGTTGAGACATTGAAAGGAAAAGCTATTTTTCTGAGGCTTTAAAGACAAAAACAAATTTCCCTCCTAACAAGGAGTATTCAAACCTCTGTGTATACATAACACAAACCAGGTTTGAACTGAAAGGAAAAAAATGAATACATTGAAAACTCTAGCACCAATTACAAATTGCATTCTTATTTTATGTGAGTGTAAGGATTAAGCAGATAGTTGACCATTGAGCAGATGTGATTTGTATCTCAAATTGTTTTCCCTTTAAACATTAGTAAAGTGGTGGGGTGGGTTGCTTTTGTTAGGGCAGTGGTAATCTTCCTGCTCTTTCGTGATGCATAAGGTTTGGCTGGGGCATTTGAAAGGGGACCAAAAACTGTTTGTCTTTCTTTATTTCAGATGGAGGAGATGTACAAGAAAGCCCATGCTGGTATTCGGGAGAATCCAGTGTATGAAAAGAAGCCCAAGAGGGAAGTTAAAAAGAAAAGGTAAGTAGTCTGCTTGCTGCCTCGGCCTTCTCCTTTTGTACAAATGCAATGGTTTGAAAATGCACTTTGCAAAAAACCCAAAAAAACAGCTGGCTTCTACTACAGATTGTATTTTCTACCGGAGTGTGAATTTGCAAACTCGATCACTGGCTCTGCATGACGTTGCAGAAGCAAGGGGAACCAGGTTTGCTAAAGTAATTGTGGTGATAGAAGCTTATTTGCCTTGGAATTGAATTGACATTTTTGAGGCACCTCATTCTGTCCTAAGACAAGATAACTGGGTGTTACTTTTCTCTTGAAAGTTCCTGTGTAACTGAGCACTTAGGGTTATTTGTTGTCCCCTTATGGTTCAGGTCAGTAGTTAAGAACTTAAACCATGTGGAAGACACATACACACACACACACACACACACACACACACACACACACACACACGCACGCACGCGCAATGTACATCTATAATATAGTCACCTCCCAGGTGACATGGGGGAAAGGAGAGAATTAGGTAAATCTGGCAGTGTCAGGAATGACACCTGAGCTAGACCTTGAGGGAAAGGAGGGGACCTTGGTAGCTGATTGGGGTGGCACAGTATGTATAGGGAGGGGTACAAAGAATGGGAAGGGGTAGAGTGGCATGGGGTGGAATTGTGGGGGTCGGGTTAGCTTGAAATGTGGACTGTGTGAAGGGGAGGAATGTGGACTGGAAATGTACATTGGAGCCAAAAGGATCAACAGCAGGGGGAAGGAGTTGAAATAGGAGTGTCTTGGAGCCCACAGGGAGGGCTTGCACTGAAGGCCAGGGTAGGTGGGAGTGAAAGGGAGAGTGAGGATTTGAGATTGCTTGGGGTGAAAGAAAGGACTCGGATGTGGTGGGGAGAGGGGGGAGCAGAGTACGGACTGATTGATTCCCAAGGGGGTAATGGTAGTGATGTCATCAACAGAAAGGACTTCAGTGTCAGAATTTGTTCGGTTTGAATTGCAGACTGGAGGGTATTTAGAGATGACCAACACAGGTGTTGTGGGCTACCAACTGATGTGGTGTGACATTGATGCCATGGGTTAGGATGGAGGAAGGGGAGAACAGCAGTGTGAGAATTTGTTTGGAGCCCAGTGGAGTGCATGTAGTGTCAGAGAATCCAGGGGATGAGAGCTGAGAAATAATGGATTGGGGGACAAGGAGGCATTCGTGACACGGCTTGGTAGTTTGAGTCAGATTACAAGGGGTTAAAGAGGGTACCTAGTAAGGAAGTGGAGGCAGTGACCTTAGTTGTCCTTCGTACAGGTTTGGTAATGAGATCAGGGGAAAGCTGGAGGAAGAGGAGACATAGGTTAGAAATGAAAGTGGGAAATGCTTGAAAGAGCAAGACTCCAAAAGAAAACCCTAACAGTCTGAGAAGCAGTCAAGGTCACTTGCTGCAGATGGAGGTGTGACACGTTTGGGAAGAGAAGGTCCTGGGGTAAAGATAGCAAGAGATACAAAAAGGAATAAAAGAGATGCCAAGTGAGGGCCCACACGAACATCTGGAGTAAAGAAAGGCAAATAGTGCTGGCCGAGGGCACTGGTGGGAAAAGCAGCTGTTTCGGGACTGACGGTAGCGTGGACTATTTCGTGGGATAAAGAGTCTTTCTGGTTTGCATTTGTGAGTTCTGACCCTCTGCCTTTTTTGCTTGGTAGATGGAACCGCCCCAAAATGTCCCTTGCCCAGAAGAAAGATCGGGTTGCCCAGAAGAAGGCGAGTTTCCTCAGAGCCCAGGAACGGGCAGCTGATAGTTAAAACATCAAAATCTGTAATTTTCTATGAAGATTTTCAGATTAAGGCAATAAACTTATTGATTATCACCCGTGTCTGTTCTTAATGGAGCTTTATAAAGTACTAGCCAGGAGGATGGAGCAGTGGTCCTTTTTTTCCAAGATGGTGGCAGTGGTGGTGGTATCTAAGCTTATTTTCCGAAGGTATTGCCTTAGTTGAACTTGACTGCAGCAATATGGGACTGACGCCTGCTTCTCCATGATGCTTATTTACAACTAGTCCCTAATGCTACTAACGTGACCTAATAGCCTGTTCTGGCTTTGGGCATAGATAATGGAACAAGGCATGTGTGCTGCATAGCCAGCCATGAGTAAAATAATTTAAGATTACCTTTTGGCTGTGACAGGCGGATCAAGGAAATGCCACGACTAGGAAATATTCTTCCAGCCATTTATTGAAACCAGATGTGTAGTGGAAAGGAAAAGGACCTTAAACTGTACAACTGTAACTGAAAAAAATATATTGTGACAACGCCGTGATCAGTAAAGTCCATTGCCCAATTACACCATGTACGTTAGACACAGCTGGAGGACACAAGCAATTCCAGTTGGAATCTTTTCCAGCAGCAAACATTGGCTCTTCCTCCAAAAAGTAGGCCATTCTACTTTATGGAGACATCAAAAAAGATTGTCATTGTGCGCAAGGTTTGAAATTACATGCCAGAACAAAGTATATACAGGTCAAATGCACTCGGAATCCACTTTGCTGCTAACCCTTTGTCCTGAGTGTATATGGAAAGACTGTTGGGTGAAGGCTTTCTCAGCGTGCATGCCCATCGACCGTGGGGGATGCCATTTGGAGACATTTTGTACCTTAGTGTTTTTTCATTGATAATTTAGAGGTCCTTTCATTAAGATTCCATGATTAATTCATGTCTACTACACCTCAAAAACAAGAAAACTGGTTCGGTATCTTTTAAAAGTGTTTGAACAGGTCAGTTGGCCTGTTTTTTTTTTTTCCTACTGCAGATCAAATATGACAACTCCCCGTGGATACTCTGCTTGTAGTACCTGGTTTGGAGATATCTCACTGTAAATAGTGAATGTATTTACATTCATTTACATTTACATTAAATACTGAATGTCTTCTGCCTTTTAGAATTATTGTGGGAGAGCCAGATTTTAAGACGTGGTCTTAACTTGTGCCCTTTTAAATATTTCATTTCTAATGCTTTGTAATTTAATGACTGATGCAAAAAATAGACTAATGACAGCAATTACACAGTTGGTCAGTTGAGTTTTTACAAAATTTCCAGTTCCTCCAAGGTTCTGTTATAGAACTATTTGAGGAAACATCCATAATTTGCTAGATAGAGCATTCAAGATCTGAATAAATGAGGTAAGAATATAAATAAACTGAAGGTAAGCCCCACTACCTGTTTATGCCAAAGAGGAATATAATTTATTTGCTTAGCAATTTAAATTTCCCATTAATGTGCAAATTCTGCCATGCTGAAATATTAGTAAACTATGTGAAAGTTAAATTAATTTTTAAAACAGCAGCTTGGATTTGGCCACAAATGTTTCCAGCAGTGGCCTCTTGACTAACAAAGAATTACTTGCAAAAACCATTTTCATTAACATGAGTGTTCACATGTAAATGAGGATTTTCACAGCATTAGGAATGAAGAACAACTAGGTGCCTTTGAGAAACAGACCAGAGGTTCTTGTATTCACATCTCTGACTGGATGAAATACACGGAGTCCTAATTTTTCTGGTACCATCAAGGGCCTGGGAGCTGAAGCTGAAGCCGGGAGCAAGAGTCCTGGCTGCCACTTACAAGCAGCACTCAGCCTCAGTTTCCTGAGCCAAGAAATGGGAATCATCCTGCCCTGCATCCCTCACAGGATTGTTAGAATTAAGTGGGAATTTATGTAAAAATTCTTTGTAAACTGTACAAGTAGAAGACCCACATCTGCCAAAAAGTGGCTTGGAGAGCACAGACTCTAGCCCCCACCAAGACTTGGTTAAGGCCTTAGCCAGAGGGGACTGGGCATAGGAAGTTGGGTTTCTGGGAAGGGGTTGGAAGGGACACTGATGGGCAGGGGCTCATTTTGAATGGTCAGGATGACTTAAAGTGGCAAGTTTCCTGTGTCTGACAGATTAACTAGGAATCATTTGTATGAGAGATTTTCTTCCACAGTAATGTCTTTAGGTTATTTAATATCAAAGAGTGCTCCATTTCCATCTGGTTCGCAGTGACTGTGAGGGCGACACAGGATCGGAGCTGCTTCTCCAGCTCTTCCCGGATCTCAGAGGGCGCCCCGCGCAGCAGGTAGTCTTTGAGCAAGCCGCAAGCCTTGGCCAGGTTGGGCTGGATCACTTCTGAAGTGCACTTCATCCTGCTCTGGTCACAGCTAGTTCTACAATCTGCACCGTAGACACAGTCCAGGTCAGATTCACAGTGTCGATCTTTAATTAGTTCTTTGAGATTCATTTCTGGCACAATTTTTCTCATGTCCATCATTTTCAAATCATATTTATCATTATATCCCAAGTTTTTGGCACTCGTGTCGCACATGAGGAAATTCCCGTAGGGACCATGAAAAACGTCTTCTACGAATTCTAGAAGTCCTATGGCTATTTTAGCCTTCCTAGGCCACGAGGGTGTGAACAACTGATCCATGGTTCTCCTGAAACCAGAGGGAATGAAAAGTTCAATCACCCAGGGAAGGCTTATTCCATAAAGAGAGGTGTAGTCCACTCTTTCCATCATGTAGAGGTCTCCACAAAAGCCCATCAGTTTGGGCGTGTGCTCTTTGTCCTGAAGTATGACCATAAGCAAGAACTCATTGAGCTGAAGAAGAGCCCACGCAGACTTGGCTTCAGGCAAGGAAACTCGACCATCTTTGTTTCCATCAGCCACTGAGAGGATGAGATTGACCAACTCCGAAAGGTTTCCTTGGTCACCCAACTTTGCCTGGTAATGACAAAGCCATTGTCATTAAAATCACAAAGACACACACACACACACACACACACACACACACACACACGCACACACACATCGACTGAGCTTTAAAGCATCTGAGATACTTCTGTTCTTGAGCCAAGGGAGACAATTTTGCTACTCGCTATGTAATGGCCTCTGTGTTCTACACAAGTCAGACACCATGTGTTCATCACTGTTCTAGCCCTCCCTTGGACTTGCCCTAAATGTTGCTTTTGACAGTGTTTGCTTGGATGGGTAGAAGGTAAGGGGTGGGGCTTGAAGAACCTGGTTATCGTCTTTATAAAGAAGTCATTCCTCAAACTTTTTTTGATTACTTTCTCCTATTCTTCTCGTATATTTATAAAGCACTTAGCATGGTACTTGGCATACAGTAGAAGCTTAATAAATGCTTGCTCCTTTCTCTACTGAGAAGCCAGTTCTGAACTGAGCACTGTCCCCATCTCCCACTGTTAGGGCCAACAGAACCAACAGGATCTGCATGATGGCTAACGCCTATCCCCTGCATTCCACCCCTACCCCCAGTTTTAGTTGGACTATAAGGCACTCACTGATAGAGACCACAGGGGCAGCTCAAAGCTTATCTCAAGACAAGAGGTAGATGTTAAAAATCATACTCGTTCTTTGTCTTCTAAACCTTTCATGCCGTTTTTACCATGAAAGTTCAGTGTTCTGCCAACGTTTCACATTGCTAGTTGTCTCATTTCAGTACTTACAGGCTAATTTCTAAATATGTAAAATAATGTCTAAGCAGTCATATATGTTGGGAAGCATTAAGTTCTGGTGTTCACACCATATCAGGTGTACTTTAATACTGTGCTGAAACAGCGTTACCTTTAATTTTGTTTCAATACAGGAACCTCCACTGGTCACCAGAAGGTTGGCATCATTTTGGCCACAACAAATCTTGAATACCATATCCTAAGGCATAAGATCTTAAATGCAAAGCAGAAAAGGACCTTAGAAGTCACTCAGTCCAACTCTCTCATGTAGACATGAGGATATGGAGGGTGACCCAGGTTAAATGACTTGGCTAAGATCACCCAGCTAGTTAGTGAGGTCTCCTGGGTCTCCTGACTCCAGGCTCAGCGTCCTACTGGCTCTGCCATTCACCTCGCTGGCACACTGATACATAGCTGTGCAAAATTTACCCACCCCGAGAACATTACAGATCCTTAAAGTACAAGAACCTCACTTAACCTTCGGTATTTATGATGCTTTAATGGCATGTATTTTATGTAGTTCAAGGTAGCTAATTTGCAAAGCCTTGTAAATAAAAATGGAACATTTAATAAAGCTGACTGGAATCCTGGCTTCTCTATGTTCCCCCTCCTTGGGCAGTAAAATTACTGAAAGCAAAACAGAACCAAACAAAACCCAAAAAGCTGTTACTTGGTCTAGGAAAATATCTCGTGTGCAAACTTGTCTTGGGTGCCACTGTGTGCACTGGATATCACGGCCAGCATTTCACTCATTTGCTCCAAATGAGTTCCATATCTTTTACCTTAAACACGTATCACTAGGGGTCAACATCTTGCTTCAATACTAGACTGGATGAGTTCAGCTCAAATAAATTAAAGCTTCTCATAAAACTGAAGCGTTAGACCGAGCCATGTTGGCCAGGGCTGCAGTAGCTGTCTCAGGATTATTTGAGCCGCATTCCTTGGGATTTTTGCTCTGCTAATGGAGGTTAGGGTTCTTTCTGGGCCTAATTGTAAAGATGCCCAGTCATTCTAGCACATAAAGGAGTCTGAAAAAGTATCCTAGAAATTTAGGAAAAAACATCTAGGAAGTCTTTCACCAAATACAACCCAAGGGAAGAAAGAGTTGACGAATGTCATACTTACTTTGAAGAGGCTGTACACCATTTCTTTGAATTTCTGTACCGTTGTTCCCCGAGTCGGCTTCTCAAATAAAACCACTTCTTTTCTTGGTTCCAACTCGGTCCCGAAATCAAGGTGAGGGGCTTGTTCCATCTGACACTTCACAACGCCCTGCAGATTTCCCCAAACTCCTAAGTACATCTATGTGAAAAACATGGAAAGCTGGGCGATCTTTTGGGGCTCACACATGATCTTATTACTCTGAAAATACTATCGCTTTTTTTTTTTGTCCTTTCTCTACTGACTGAGAGTTGTTTGTTTGACCTGAGCTGTGAATTTTTCCTTTTGGGTTGTAAATATGAAATTTTTCCTCAAAACACTTATAAACCAATATTTTTTGGGGCAGAGATTGGGGATGGCTGCAAAACTCCCCTGAAATCTATTTCTAGAGAGGCTGTGGTCATTCTCTATACCTAGACTGTGTGGCTCTTGCCTGCAGACCACCCTATCTACACCCAGAATCTCTCATCACCCTCTTGGCACTGCAGACCTGAAGACCATTTCCTGAGTTTTGAAAGAGCCATGATCTGCATCAGTGGTGTAATCACACAAGTAAAATTATGGATTGTTGAAATGTTAAAGGGTTTCCAATTGCTTTAGCAACTTTTGCTAGAACTCAGGAAAGCTAAAGATGATTCATAGCATAAGCAGTTCTGCTCAGCTCAGTAGACAGATTGTGAGCTCCTCGAGGGCAGGCATTGGTTTTTGCCCTTCACTGTATCCCCAGTGCTTGGCACAGTACCTGGCACATAGTAGGTGCTTAATAAATGCTTGTTGACTTGGCTCTGTGGTGTTAGTGTGAATTTTCAATGTGGATCTAAGACCTACCCTGGTTACAGGGAAAATGATGGGCTGAGAGTTCATCTGCATCCCATGTTAATTCCCCCATACCCACATAGCACTTGCCTTAGGAGAGATCACCCCGTGCCTGAGCATCTTACATTTGGGTAGCACTGACTAAAAAAAAAAATGACAATTGGTGTCAAGTCCTTATATTTGCAAATATTAAGTACATCTCATGTGAAACAGAGGCCTGTCAGTCACAGTAGCCTCTGTAATATTTAAGGAATGCTACAGCTCACCTTTCCTAATGTGAATGTTGAAAAGAGCTAACCAGGATATGCAGAGCATATCACTTATCTGGCTGATGTTGCAGGTGCGAGCATGAGGACCAGGATGAGGATGGATGGGTCACACAGGCAGCAGAGATCGAGCTCTGGAAGACGGGCTGACAGCATTATTTCTTTTTATTCTTCCATTTTCTAGTGCTTGACGTAGTGTTTTTCATGTGAAGTTTGCCTAATTTTTTTTCCCCAGTGATGAAGAATAAAAATACCTAGAACCCTGCCCTAGACAGTATTACCTGCTACCATGAGATGTTACCTGGAAAGAAGGCATTCACTTCTAACTGTGACTACCTTTCAATCCTCCACCCTACAGGAAAGACCATTAACAAGGGAAGTGCTAAGAAGCCATATTGGGAAGCTTATGTCAGTTTCTTAGCCCCACTCATGTATATGTAGGCAATGGTGTCAATCACAGAATTGGAAACCACGTATCTCTGAGGTGATTTAGTACGACCCATACTTGTATAAAGTTACCATGTAAAAATAGCCATTTATTATTATTAAGTGGAGTCTTTAAGTAGAGTCTAAAATCCACCATGCATTTGTATATACACAAATGAATAAATTAAGTGCCCATTACCAAATTTCTGAATCCATTACTACTAAAAACAAGAAAAAAAACCCAAGATAGTAATAGTGCTTCATGAGCAATGGAAGCTGAGGAAGTCAAACAAATGTTTCAATTTGATGGATGCTATTAATGAAAAGGAAGTGAAACATGAATTTCAGAAGTAATTTAAAGTTTTAATATAGGTTATTTATATTATTTTGAGCTGTTGGGAAGCACTTATTGGGATAGGGAGCATTAAGCTTTTCCATTATTTAATACTGTCAGCGTAAGAAGTTCTTCCTTTTTACAGATGCAAGTAGAGTAAGTTTAAAATTCCATATCAAACACATGTTGTGTGTTTATAAGTGTATGTGTCTATGTTAACCAGATTTGGTTTTGTTTTTCCATTCTCTTAAATCAACACAAAAGATGTATGCCACTTTAAACACGGGAGGAGCGAGCGAAGATTCCTGAATCAGACCACTAGAACTTGATTTTGTCCATTTTGCTATAGATAGGGTGCTCTGAAAAATGGTTTTAAAAATAACTCATTTTAGAATATTAAATAAAATGACATTAAGATGTTTTTAGGCTAAGATGTATTTATTAATGCTTCTTTTATGACTACAGTGGTTTGTTGTTCATTTGTTTCAGTCCTGTCTGAGTCTTTGTGACCTATTTGGGGTTTTCTTGGCCAAAGATACTGGAGTGGTTTGCTATTTCCTTCTCCCGCTCATTTTACAGATGAAGAAACCGAGGCAAGCAGGGTGAAGTGACTTGCCCAGGGTCACACAGCTAGGAAGTGACTGAGGCCTAATCTGAACTCAGGTCTTCTTGGCTCCAGGCCCAGTGCTTTATCCACTGGGCCACCTAGCTGTCCTGACTACAGTGGTAACCACCACAAATTCTTTTATTTTCATTTCTGCCTTTCTCAAGGCTGTTAAACTTTAAATGACCACAAGCTATAAGTGTTCAAACATTATACTATCTACAAGAATAAAGTCCAAATTTCTCAGCTTGGCAGTCAGGCCTCTCCCCATTGTGGCCAGAACAAGACATTGCAGCTTCTCCACCATGACTCTTTCCACATGACCCTCCAACCAGATTTCATTCCTTTTTCTAAACATGCCCAATACTGTCCTGTTCCCATGCTGTTCTCTGGGCTTAGAATATTCAATAAAAAATTATGTCTTTCAGAATATTTCTTTCCAGCCTTCAAGGCGCCAGCTAAGTGCCATTTCTTTTATCTTCCCTGAGTAGCTGGCCTTCTTCTTTGGGATGCCACCCAAAGGACTGCCACCTCTCTCTCTAATTGCACCAATCCCCTCCAGTTTTACACTACAGAGTTATCTGCATACTTGTCTTTTCTTTCCCTTCACTCCCTAACCCAAGGTGATAGCTCCTTGAGGGCAACCCCAGTCATTTTTCTATTCACAGTGCCCAGGAAATGTCCTGTGCCTTAGCAGGTATGCAATATTTTAAAAAATTCTCTATTAATCTGAACTTCTCTACCATTGGAAAAATAGAGTCTATAAGCAGCCTTCCTCTCTATTCTACCTAGGAGCACAGTGGGTATTCTCGAAGTGTCTAGACTGGGACAGGTTAGACTATATGTTTTGCAGAAGACGGATCACCCTAAATAATTTGTATGCAGTTTAAAATTTTAATTTTATTTCAATGACTAGTTCTAGTTTTAGTTTCATCTTGTCACTGTTACTGTAATAGAATTATTATAATACTATAATGTACAGTATATTATAATTGGACAATAACAAAAACTTCACTACTGTTTCAAAACAGATTTGTGTTTTCTTGTAAAATTATTAATAATATTGGTACAATAATAATAATAGCTAAAATTTGGTATTATAATAATAATAATAGCTCAAATTTCTGTAGTGCTTTAAGGGTGTTGAGTGCCTTACCAATCTTATCACATTTGCTCTTGACTACAACACTGGGAGGTTGGTGCTATTTATTATTTTCTTCATTTTACAAATAAAAATTAAGGCTGAGATGGCTAAGCGATTTGCCCAGGGTCACACAGCTAGTAAGCGTGAGGCGGAATTTGAACTCAGGTCTTTCTGACTTCAGTTCCAGCCCTGGGCTTGAAAAAAAAAACCAACCAAAAAAACTTAGCAACTGGAATTTTTATTCAAAAAGTCTATACCTGGTTGTTGGGTTTAGTTGATAAGCATTTTCCAAAATAAAGAGTTTCTTTAGCACAAAGGCTACTACATGCAGGCCCATCAATGACTCCGGTCTTATATTTATCACACTGCAAAACAGAAAAGAGAAAATAGGACATTTCATATAAGAAGTGACAGTCATGACACCATCATGGATATTTACATGTGGAGAGGTTTTTTGAGATGAGCAATGTAAACTTAAGCACAATCGTGAATCTGAAGGTGAGAGCTTTGTTTATGTAACAGATGTGTGAGTGGACAGAAGAGTGTTGGGGCTCCATGGCACCCATGGGCCTAGGTTGGGAGTCCAAGGACTTGAATTCTCTGGATCACACGATCACAGGTTTAGTGCTTCACCTCGTCCAACACCCTCTCCCCATTTTATAGATGAGGAAACTAAGGCTCAGGGCCTGTGACTTACATCCAAGGTCACATAATGGAGGAAATGGCAGACCTGGGACTTGAACCCAGGTCTTAGGTCCTAAATCTAACACACTCAAATCTTGGCTCTGCCACTTAAAAATGTGTGGCATTGGGGAATCATTTATCTTTCTGTGTTTCAGTTTTCTCGTCTGTAATATGGAGGATCAAGGGTATGGCCTGAAAAACCAGATTAAAATATAACTGGAAAATGTTTAACAAAATAAATAAAACTAAAACAAAATATGGCTTACTTGTAAAAACAAAATGAATAAAAATTAATGAATAGGGATACAAAAATCCTAAATAAAATACTAGCTAAAAGATTACAACACTATATTACAAAGATCATACACTGTGACGAAACAGGATTCCTACTAGGAAGGCAGGGATGGTTTAACATAAGGAGAACGCTTAACATAATTGATTATATCAATAATAAATGTAACAAAAATCATATGATATCAATAGATGCAGAAAAAGCATTTGACAAAGTACAACACTCATTTCTACTAAAAACGCTTGAAAGAACAGATATAAATGGACTTTTTCTTAAATTGATAAGAAGCATTTACCTAAAACCATTAGCAAGCACTATTTGTAATGGGGATAAAGCCTTCCCAGTTAGGTCAGGTGTGAAACAAGGATTCCCACTGTCACCAATATTATTAAGTATTGTATTGGTAATCCTAGCAATAGCAATAAGAGAAGAAAAATAAATAGAAGGAATCAGAATAGGGGATGAGGTAATAAAAAATTATCTCTTTTTGCAGATGATATGATATACTTGGAAAATCCTAAAGATTAATTGAAATAATAATTTCAGCAAAGTAGCAGGATATAAAGTAAACTCATATAAATCATCAGCATTCCTATATATTACCAACAGGATCCTTCAGGAAGACATAGCTAGAGATACCCCATTTAAAATATCCCTAGACAGTATAAAATATCTGGGAATACAGACAAACCAGGATCTATATGAACAAAACCATAAAAAAACTTTGTACACAAATAAAATCAGATTTAAATAAATGGTGAAATACTAATTGTTCATGGGTAGGTAGGGCCAATATGATAAAAATGACAATTTTATCAAAATTATGTATTCAGTGCCATCCCAATTAAATTGCCAAAAATAGGGAGCTAGAAAAAAAAATAACAAAATTCATTTGGAAGAACAAAAAGTCAAGAATATCAAAGGAACTAATTGAAAAAAAATTGCAAAGCAAGGAGGCTTAGCAGTACCAGATCTTAAAGTATATTATAAGGCAGTAGTTACCAAAACTATCTAGTACTAGCTAAGAAAAAGAAAGGTAGATCAGTAGATCAGAACAGAAATACAATCTACAGCATCAAACGAATCTAATTACCCAGTATTTGACAAGTGTAAAAACTTAAGTCTTTGGGATAAGAATTCATTATTTGGTAAAAATTGTTGAGAAAGCTGCAAAGTAGTCTGGTGGAAATTGGGCATAGAACAATGTCTTACACCATTTACCAAGATAAGGTCAAAATGGATACAGGGCTTAAACATACAGGGAGATATTACGAAGAAATCTGAAGAACATGGAACATGTCACCTATCAGACTTGTGGATAGGTAAACAATTTATGAACAAAAGGTAGAGAGCATTATGAGATATAAAATGGATAATTTTGATGAAAACTTTTTGTACAAATAAAATAAATGTAGCCAAGATCAGAAAGAAAGCAGAAAACTGGAGAAAATGTTTATAGAGAGCTCCTCAGATAAAGGTCTCGTATCTCAAATACATAAAGACTTTGTAATATGAATGAGTATATGAACCAGTATATGAACAGGCAGTTTCCTGATGAAGAAATCAAAACAAGCTATAGTCATATGAAAAAATGCTCTAAATCATTATTGATTAGATAAATGCAAATTAAAACAACTTGAGATATCATTTTATATCTATCAGATTGGCTAAAATGAGAGAAGGGGAAGTGTTGGACATTTGTTGACAAATGGTGGAGAGGATGTGGAAAAATTGGGATCTTAATTCACTGTTGGTGGATCTGTGAGCTGATCCAACCATTTTGGAGAACGATTTGGAATTATGCCCAAAGAGTTATTAAACTTATACCCTTTGACCCAGCAATACCACTATGAGGTCTTTCCCCAAGATGACTACAGAAAATGGAAAAGAACCTACATATTCTAAAATATTTACAGCAGCTCTCTTCGCGGTGGCAAAGAACTAGAAATTGCAGGGATGTCCATCAACTGAGGAATAGCTAAACAAATTGTAGTATATATTCACGATGGAATATTACTCTGCTATAAGAAATGAGCTCAATGGTTTAGAAAAGCACGGAGAGACCTCCATGAAATAGTGAAACGTGAAATGAACAAAACCAAGAGAGCATTGTATTGTTTTAAGAACAACTTTGAGCAGCCAAGTCATTTTGACTAAAAGACCCTATGAAGGAAGATGTTTGAATCCAGAAAGGAATTTTGCTGTGGTGTGGAAAATGATAAGCTGGTTGATTTAGAAAAACATGGAAAGACTTGGACCAGGGGTGGGGAATCTGTGGCCTTGAGTCCACATGTGGTCCTCTAGGTCCTCAAGTGTGGCCCTTTGACCAAATTCAAACTTCACAGAACAAATCCCCTTAAGAAAAGGATTTGTTCTGTAAAACTTGGACTCAGCCAAAAGGCCATACCCGAGGACCTAGAAGGCCACATGTGGTCTCGAGGCTACAGGTTTCCCATTTCTGATTCTTGGACTTATGAAGGAAGATGCCATTCACCTTCAGAGAAACAGATGATAGGAGGAAATAAGCATAGTGCAGTCTTACATATATATGTATGAGTGTATATCTGTATACAGGTCTACGTTTATAGATATCTATGTATATGTATATATATATTCACGCTTAATTGTGGCTTTCTTTAGGGTGTGGGGGGAAATAAAGTAAAAAGTACACAGCAGAGAACAAAAGAAAACCAACAAGGAATCAAAGAGAAGCTTGGCAGCTTTGAAAACAATGTGTAGTATTTATTACACGGTTTTCTTGAAATGGAAATTTATTGTTTTGTATTGAATCTTATTGTTTTATATTGACTTTTATATTGAATCCTCTCTTATGGTCTGCTGTGTACATGGCAATATTTGTTTTCCTTTCTCATTTGTGTTTAAGTGTACAATAAAAAGATTTACAAAAAATAAAGAAATCACAGTAAAAATAAATAAAAATACAGTAGAATATAGATAATACTAATTTTCTAAGCCAGTAGGTGGCCTGTGGGAATTCTCATGTATGGTTTTCTATTTCAGTTTAACTGGCTTGGACTGACCTCTGAGGTTCCTTCTTGCTCTCCATCTACCATCATGGATGATGGGGAATATAAGAAACCTGTACATCATCGGAGATCTCTGCTAAATCCTAAGCAATGCTTCAATTGTCTTATAAGAATTCTCTTCCTAGATGGCTCCAAAGAAAACTTAGAATACAGTAGAATCAGTTCCTAGTGGGCAAGCACTGTCTTCTTCTCAAAGGCATCTTCTTTCCTTCCCTGGGCTCTTACCTAATCATGGCACCTGCCTCATTTTGTGGCTTCTCTGAGAGTGCTCATTGCCCAGTTCTGAAGCACTGCCTAATTTTACTGTCCTATAGCTAGCCTGTGGGGCCAAGCTTTGTCTTTATAATGCACAGTATTCTTTCCTTTTCCCTTCTTTCCATTTACAAGATGGCGGTCATCTTGCATAGTTTTCCTGGTTTTTCTTACTTCATTTTGTTGTTGTTGTTGGGTTTGTTTTTTTGGTTGGTAGTGGTGGTGGTGAGGCAATAGGGGTTAAGTGACTCGCCCACGGTCACACAGCTAGTTAAGTGTCAAGTATCTGAAGTCAAATTTGAACTCAGGTCCTCCTGATTCCAGAGTCTGTGCTTTATCCATTGTCCCACCTAGCTGCCCCTATTTACTTCATTTTGAAACAATTCACATAAGACTTCTCATAACGCATCACTCAGTGCATACCCGTTTTGTTTCCAGCTCTTTGTTATAAAGAATATTGCTATAAATATTTTGTACCTTTCTTTCTGTCTATGATCTCTTCTATATGTCTAGTGCGAGTTCTTTTGGTCAGAGGATATGGGTATTTTTGATTTCTTAGCCGATTCCAAAATTGCTTTTTAGAGTCGTTGGACCAATTCCCAGCTCAGTCATGTATTAGCACGTCCTGATTTTTTAAAAGTGAAGAAAATAGAATATGAAAAATGTAGGCCAGGAGTTGGCAAATTACTGTTGAGGGCCAAAACTAGCCCACCACATGTTTTTGTATGGCTTGTCAGCTAAAAATACTTTTTTATATTTTAAAATAAAGTTTTATTATATTTTAAAATGCAAAAACCATTCTTAGTTTGTGAGCAGTATCAAAAAGGAGAGGCTGAAGTTGGCTGACCCTTGTTTCTAGCCAGAGGTGTTGCCCAGCCTGAGGTCCCACGCTGCTGCAACACTCTCCATTGCAGCCCCAGCCAGATGAAAACGTAATTGGGAAATACTTAACAAAATAAGTAAAAATACAGTAGAAGAGATAATACTGCGTGTAAAGACTAGGTCAATATGCTATCTGCAGGGATCCTTATGCATGGAGCATTGGCCCGGCTTCTGTTTGAGCTTTGACCCCACTGATGTAGGCCTCTGA